CCCTGACCCCTCACCTTCAATCCCGGGATCCGCTGCCCCATCTGCGGCCCGGGAGCGGCTCGGGAGGGTGTCAGGAGGTAAGATGGGAGGGAGATCAGCATCTTCCTCCTTGTTGATCTCCCTCCGTGCTGTGAATACGGAAGTAATGTGTAAAGCACCAGCGCGCGAAAACGACAATTGCGCTACACATGTTACATATCACCGCAAACGTTGCAGTGAGAACAATAATTTTAGGGCCATCAATCACTGATGACACTAAACTGATGAGCGGTAAAAGCTTTTAAAGCGTCGCCTGTGGCCAATTTTGGGTATTATAGTTTTTTGAGGTTTCGCGCACGCAATTTTAAGGCTTGACATGTTTGGTGTCTATTTTCCCGACGTGACCCCGTCTTTTATATTTGACCAAAAAATTGGGTAATAATAAATGTTTTATTATTTAATATAGGGGAAACAGTTTTTTTTTTAATTCGGTCATTTTTCCTTAATATAGTAAAAAATAAAAAACCCCAGTGGTGAATAAATACCACCAAAAGAAAGCTCTATCTGTCCCTAAAAAAATGGTATAAAATGTATTTCAGTACAGCATTGCATGACGGAATAAATGTCAGTCAATGTACCGCAGCGCTGAATACACCAAAATGGCCTGGATGGGAAGGGAGTTTAACACCGCGGACTTCAAGTGGTTAGAGAGTATCTAAACCCAAAAACAAAAATGTAATATATTGCAGTTTATAAATCCTTTGATGTGATGGCTACACTACTATTCTTTCTTTCTCTTTATTTTCACCTGGTGATCCTCCCAGAAACTCTGTTATTTTTCAATTTACTTTAACAGACTGAGCTTTCCAACAAAACTGGCAGATAAAGGGTTGAGACAAACCATTTACCAATGACAGGGGTGCTTACAATGGCCAGCTTCCATTCATTTATGTAAAACCTTTATTCCAGAAGGAAAAAAAAAACGGATCATGTAACTGCTTAAAAAGTGTAAGCTGGAGTTCAGATTTAATTTGTTAGTCCAGTCCAGATAAATCTGCTAGTGTATCTGGCACTACTCTCCCCACAAGCTGACAATACTGCTGTCCAAGGGTGGCTCTGTTTCTCTTCTATTAAATGGAGTCACTCTAAGACAGGAAGTGTGTTACTGGCCCGATGACCAGGTGAAAATAAAGGACAAAAAGTCTGAAAAAAAAGATTAATGCAGCCACAACATCTAAGCTCTGGTAAGCTGCAATATATTTAATTTATGTTTTTGGGTTTAGACACAATTTAATATACTGTATATAACATCAGAAAACTTTGAAGATTCAATCCTTTTCCCCTTAGCAATTTTTCTTTTCTACGTTTCTGCAGATTTCACTGAAGATGTGTTATTGAAATCATAACTGTATTCATGCTGGGACACAAGCAAATAACACATGCAACATACCAGCTAATGTTATATGCTTACATTTTTACAAGCATTTTTTTAAATTCAAGCATAGTTGTTAAAAAAATAAGGTAGTGTAATTAACGAGAAGCTGACTGCGAAATTACTTGCCAATTTTTCCAAATTTGATAGAATATGGGAACCATGGGTTGCCAATTTCTTCCCACCGAACTTTGATAGAACGTTATTGGACGTGTGAACAGGCACCCTAGTTTCCACCACTGCCTGATACAAGCCTAATAACCATGCCCGGATGTACTCCACGCTTCCCCAACCTTCCCTCCCCCGCCCTGTCCCTTCAACCTACCCACTCTCCCTCCTCCCCCTCTTTTCTTGCCTTTCTCTTACGGCCAGGGCTGTAAAGCAGTCCCTTCTACTGTAACATTCTACTTCTATACCTTTACTTTAATACTAACTCTCCTTAAAACTCTTGGCTAACACCGGTTTGTCCCGTTGGACTGAACCGTGCATCTGCCAGGCAGTGGGATACAACACCTTGAAGCAATCTATAACAATTGTACGCTGCAATGACCACAAAGTATTCAATATTAAAGTAATTATCTTGTGTTAACAACATTGACTGTCTGTATCCTGAGACCCACCATCTGCTTTGGTCAAGTCTGCATTGTTTGTATTTTCTACATCTTTATATGCCAATAAAAATGTATTGAAATAAAACAAATAAAAAATAAGGCAGTGTAGAGGATCATGTGCATGTCTGAGTGATAATGAGATGGCACAACGAATGGAAGAGTTAATTATGATTCCAAAATATTTTCCAATGCTTTGGATCATTCTCGCATGATGCCTGATCTGTAAAGACAAATTCTTCCGAGTAAAAACAATTAAAGTTCAGGAACAAAGCTAACTGTATTAAGAAAACATACCAGAATAGGTTCATAACTCACTGATGAAGTAACCTTACTTGAACAGGAAAAAGTACAGACTAAGGCCCTTTAACGCAGCCGGTCCGATTTGGTCCGTCTGTCAGTTTTTCAGGCGGACCCAATCGGATGCCCAATGTAAGTATATGGGACACCCATCCGTTTACACACAGTTACCCCCGACTCCGGCCGGGTCTGGAAAAACGAACGGATCAGAGATCCGTTTTGCCAAACTGGATCGTGCTGGATGTGGGGTAATCTGATGTAAATGGTAATTGCAGTTTTTTCCTCTATCACAAGATGGAGGGAAAAACTGTAGTGACACAGATGTCACTGCAGTGAAATCCGCTCCTTACTGCTGTGATCAGACGAGGATCCGTGCCCATGTGAAAAGGGCCCAATATGTTAATCACCTGCAGAATAGCCAAGATGCTTAGCAGCTTCTCTCTGCATCACCATGCAACTGTTACATCTTCTGAGGATATAATCTGTTTTTGCTGGTACTCCAAAAATGTCAGTCTGAAAACCCATGATGGTATAGGGGTGTTTGTGATCCCCTATGCCATAGGACCCCACACACACACACACAAACACACAAACACAGATGTTTTGAACTTTGAAAATAGACTAAAGGTGCTCTTTTTCCTATCCTTTTCCATAGTGCCATATTTAAAAGCCTCTCCTTCCTTACTCTAGAGACATAAGCATGTGCAATGAAACTGCAGCTCTTACGAGCCATCTGCATACAGCCATACTTGGAGCTGGTCCCTGGGAGAGTTTGGAGAAGTGATTTGGTCAATGTCTGCTTTAGCAGGGGCACAGTGTACTCCCCTTGTCATTACCCAGTCTGAAATGCATATTGTGATTATAGTGGGAGGGCCTGCATTTTGGCATTCCACACAGAGAAAGAGTTGTGAGCTACCTAAGGCATGTAGGAAGCCACTCATCTGCCACAAAGGATATGGGCTGAAGTGACCAGTCTGCATAACAAGAAAATGAGGGTGAACAGCAGCTAAAACAACATTTTATTCACCAAGGACACATTTTTTCCAAATTCATCAATATAGGCACGGTTTCAAGTGACCCCTGCAAAACAAACTTTTTTTGTGTGTGCCTTGAAGTTCAGTTTAAGCAGCAATTCTGTGTGGTCTGCTCAAAATAAGGATCTTAAAGCATAGAGCTTTAGCTTAGAGCCTAAATGTACAATGGGGAATAATTGCTGTTTTATGTATCTAGTAATTGAATTATATTAAGACATATAAAAGAAAAAACTTGAATAGCCAAATAAAGCCACAAAAAGGGAGCTAAGGTGTCCCACAAGCTTGCACACGCTATCACTTAAACTTCAAACTTTCCACATTTATCGATGACTAACATTGTACAAAACATTACCACTGTATAAAATTGCTAGAAATGTATGCCACACTCACCTTGTACACTCACTGTGGTTTAAACTTTGCTTTTTAAAAGGTAAATATTGATTTCCCAACTCGAGAAATGACTAGACGAAATCTACTGCACCCAACGTTGTCCTGTTTCGACCTGGCCCAGTTGAGAGTACACAGTCTAATGGAAAGGGATTCCTACCCAAGGTTTCTGCGATCTCAAATCTACAATGACCTACTCAGCCACACACAGAAGAGCCCATGCTAGTCCTACATGTGGTTTCAGAGACTTGTTGGTCACTTGGTCCATCCCAAGAACAGTCTTGCACTATGGCCAGAAGAACAAAGGTGACCCAGATATGACTGCTGCTAACAAGCGTCTTCACTGCCAACATTAATATCTCATCATCATCTGGTTATTCTGAATCAAAACCTGGCTCCATTGGATCATTTCAGTTTTGCAGATCAGTGGACAGAGGAACTGGTGGGTTTCCAAAGATGTGGAAGCAACGTAGAAGAGTCCTGGTGCCACCAATTAGTTACAAAACACATTTATCTTTGCTTGTTGATTACCATAGCTAATGCTTGAATTCCATCTTTAACTATCATATTCAATAATTCAATCAACATGTTCATATTTAATTACTGCATATGTCATATCTGATCATTATGTTACATAGGCATAGATTTCAATGAACAAGCCAAAAATGGTATGACTTAAAATGACTATGTTGGTTGTGTGTAGAAACAATGGAAGGTCTGATGGGTAGAAAGTGGTAGTACGGCATGTCAGAAATTTAATTAAATGAATGCTCAGTAACTGTAGATAACAGGAAAGGCTTCAGGGTCCTCAAAAGAGTGACTATGTAAGGCTGTTTCTCCAGCAGTGAGTGCATGTTAGGACAAAAGCAAACTGGCATGAAGGAGAACACCTAAAACATGAATATATATGTACAAGCTTTAGAAGTTTGCCAAAAATGAAAACATTTGAAATCAAGCTGTCTTTATGAGATATGCTCCTCCAAACAGGTCCATCTATGGCAATCCCAAAGTAACATGAATTCTTCATCTTTAATTATTCCAATGAGGCTATAGTTAGTCCTCTGCTTATATGAATTCTAAAATGGCTGCCTGCATAAGCAGATCCATTCAGCTACACAGGCAATCTTAGGGAAGCATTTGGGATTCTATGAAAATATGAAAAACATTACCCATGTGTGTGCTCCCAGTAGCTTCTTTATTCAAGGTAACCAGTCTTTTTAGGTTTAAAGTGTATACTAACCCTACAAATTAACTTCTTCTAATTGTCCCATTTGTCTTGTTAAATATACTATTTAAAGAGTTTTGTTATATCTATTCGATAAGTGCAAAACAAAAATACCTGCTGATCTAGCCAGAAATCTAGTGAGCTGATGACTTCATGTGCACGCTGCCTCTGCAGGACTGTTATCAGTAAGCAATGTTCTCAATTCACCCTGTGGATTACAGAACACCTACCATGTTGTAGGAAAGTGTTCTGTAGTCTTAACTCACTTCCTGTCAACAATGCTTCTCCTCCACAGATACAGTACAGTGAGTAAATGTTTTCCCCCTAGGACAGGAAGTGTGTTACTTGCAGGATCCCCAGATAAAAAGATGAGGTCAAGCTACATTATGGAACTCTTTTGAAATTATATAAGCAACACTGTTAGTTGGAATTTGCATTGTTGATGTATTATTATGAAGATAAAAAAAAAAACTGAAAATCACCATTACTACCCCATCACAAATCTGTGTAATTCAAACTAGGTATATGAATACAAAAATGCATATCTTCATAATGGTCAAGTCGGAATTGCTGAGGTTTGTGGCAGCTTTAGTTAATTTTAATATGAAACATAAAGATGTAGCAAACAGTATAAACCGCACTGCTACTGAATCCCCTTTTTTAATAAATAACTTTTTGTTTTCCCCCGAGCATTTAACGAGCCGCCACACTTTTTTTCTCACCAGGGGCTTAGTCATAGGGACTCATGACTATCACAGAGGAAGACTATGGTTTTGGCAGCTTGTGAAATATTCAGCAAACAATTCGATGCTTTGTAATCTAAAAAAAGCGATTCAGTGGCAGTGCGATTGACACTTCTTTGCTACATGTATTGGGGAGAGCTTACGGACCCCATCGAGACCTTATACTTGAGGGTGATCCACTAAACTTTATCTTTTTTGGGATTATGAACTACAAAAACGTATTTTTATGTGAAAAGGCAGGCCTCTAGAACAACCACTCAGAAACAACAAGTGAATGTTGAGGTCTCCTTGGATGGTAAAAACTGCAGCAAATTATTATTGTTTGAATCATGTGTTCAAGTAAAGACACTAATTCATCAAAATATCATAAGTGATATATTCTTTAACTGCGCAAAATACATGTGTGCCATCCACTTACCAGATATGGTCATACATTGTAAGAACCAGAAAAGGGACAGAGTAAAGGCTTTGTAGCTATGGCCTACTCTTTGTAGCTATGCACTACGTTGATTTTCCAAGAAAATGATTGATGTATTCTGTTTAGTGCATAACAAAGTTACAATATTTCTGTGAAATTAGATTGGAAAGATCAAACAATCCTCATGTATTTAATCAATGCATATTGAGATGGAGCAATGACCTCAATGATGGTTTCATAGCAAAAATCACATTTTAAGATTAATAAGCAATGAAATGAAATATGAAAATTAGATCATGCAATTAAGATATTTCAAAGCGTGCTTTGTGATGGAATGACGATTCTAAAAATGAAAATTCCAAGGATTTTTAGTTAAAAATATCTAAAATGAATATCTGCAGTATTCAATTTAAATGACAGAAATGAAAGTCCACCTACACAAATCAGTGTTGGGAGTTGTAGACGCTCAAAGTGATACATCTTTTGTCCGTAGCATTGGAGTCCATGCTAAGCAATGGGATGTTCATTGAGAAAGCCAATACTTTAGAGCAGGGGTAGGCAAACTCCAGCCCTCCATCTGTGGTAACACTACAAGTCCCATCATGCATCCACCTCTCTGAGCCATTCCTGTGGCTGTCAGAGTCTTGCAATGCCTAATGAGATTTGTAGTTGCACCACAGGTGGAGAGTCAGAGCTTGCCTAACCCGCTTTAGAGTACTCAGAGGAAAATAAAAAATGGTCACATGAGGATGACGGTATACAGGAGCAGATGAAGTCATCTTATATGACTACCTTATATATACCACTTCTTTGATTGCTCTTGAGGGTCATTCACACTCAAGTTAGGACAACATCTAGCTCATTCGCTACATAATGCAGATGTATGGTCCCATTAAGAAACTGATTTGGATGTACAATCGAAGAGCAGCTACAATGAAATGTTAAATATTTAAATATCAGTGTGAACATTTTAATTATCTACCTAATTATGTCAAATCCAACTACTGTTAAAGGTATCCAAACTTCGAGGTGTGTATGCAGTTGCACTAAAGAGCTGCCCACACAGCTGGAGCTTTTAAGGATTTGACCAGGCATATGGTCATATTTGCATGGCCTAAACACTGTTTTCAGGAACCAAACACCCAGGCAGAGCTGAAAACAACAGAATTGGTCATATGATATCCAAATACACTGACAAATGTGATTCACATCCTACAGATTAGCTACAAATTATCCAATCTATCTGCCTTTGGGCACCTCTATCAAACCCAAGTGCCCTATACAGGGTAGCAGAGAAGTTTGTGAGTTTGCATGCTTATTTATTCCTTATTTATTTGAGTCATAATTAATTCCCTGTGGCCTGTTCTTATTTGTTCTGCTGCCCCGCCATGGCAAAAGATTATTACAACTAGAAATGAGGTACAACAAGAACCTCCGTGACTGCAGTAGTTGAAACCAGCTTACACTAAGATCAGGTTTATCTGCAATAAAAATCTAGGTCTCTATACTCCAGTCAAGAGCTGCTTTTAGTCATGTTAAACCCAAGATAGATTTACAGGATCAGTACTTCAAGGAAGAACATCTACTGGGATTGTGCAATTCTTGCACTAGTAGTATGATCACTGCAAAATCCTAGGGCAACTGCAGCATGGTCTGCATTCCAAAATCTTGAGCTAAGGTGTCAGGTCCTAAAAGTGCAATCTTAGGCTACATTCACACTGGCACTACTGCAATTAGATTATTTAAGTGCCGGATAAATAAACTTAATAAACATTGTGCTTCTCAGATCCAGCTTTCCTGCATTTAGAAGTACATGCCTTTATGTGGGTTTAGCCATGTTTGTGTTTGAGTTTATGTGCATTTACATGCATAGAATTTCTAATCTGCCCATAGGTGCACAGGATTCTATTTTCTCTGAATGCAGTTAAACTGAACGTTCCTAAATGCAAATAATACACAGTTTGAATGATAACATGTAATAAAGATTATATGCATCTATATGCTTTTAGAAATACATATATAGACACTTATTTGTCAATGTCAGCTTGAATGAGGCCTAAAAGTGCACTTGAGCACAGGCTATGGGCATTTAAGTATTTACATATTCTTAACAAGTCATCCCTACCCTTTCTAGCTGTTGTATATTGTTGGATAGAGTGGCAAAGGTTTAGAACCCCTTTTTAGGTGTCTTGGTGAGCACTGTCACTTAGAAAGTGATGGGAAATTCAAAATGTTACAGTAGATACTGGAAAAGGAGGTGAGCATAAATATTCCCATGGTAATCCCTGTCTTGGTGACAACTGCAGATATTTCCTCTCACTTTCTGTTGCATCTCTGGGACAGGGAAGGAAGGTAAATCTCCCCAAAAGGATGAGGACAGGAAAAAAAACCCTCCTTATGCTGTCCCTAACCAAAAAAAGTTTTGGCTATACATACACTTTAACTCCAAAACTGTTTAAGCATATATAAACCTCAAAACCATTTTTTAATATATTGATGCTTACTGATGTGGCACTTCTTTTTTTCAGGATAAAAACATTTTTAGCACGTACAGAAAACACTTGTTGATTTTACCAGAAATGCACGTACTTTCCTTTGAGCTGATAGCAAAAAAAAATGTCCCTCTTTTGTAAGCCGCTAATCTAATCAATCCACCATGTAATGGAGATGGAAGACATGTTTGACAACCATGCCAGACAACCATGGCTCCCTGCATTGATACCATGGAGAAGGGAGTGTAGACATGAAGGGACAGGGAGTGTGTTATTCTGAGGACTATCAGTTAAAAATAAAGGAAAATAAAAGCTTCCAAAAAGGAAATGAATGCAGCCACCTCATCTAAGGACTATTTGATATTTTTGGGTTTTTGCTGTTTTGTTTTAACAGCAGTCCAGACAGAGTGGACTTCTAGATGGGCAATTTTCATCAAAATGTCTGCCAGTATTGCCCTACCCCAAGCTCTGAGATTGCAAAGCCCATCTTTTCATTGTGGATAGAGTAGTGGAGGATCAACTCGCTGTCAGTGTTTTGTTTCTTTTTTGCCCTCTTTGTTTATTTGAGGAGATTTCCCTTCACTTCCTGATGAGTTTACAGGACAAGAAGAGATAATACAGCAAAACAATGTTATCTCTCTTTTGTAAACTACTAATCCTATCAATCTACCATGTATTAGAAATGAGCAAAAGCAGACATGTTTGAAGTCCAGGCTGTGTGACAACCATGGCTCCCTCCTTGG